CAAGACGCCAAGGGGGGACCATCAGTGGACCCTACAGTGATCGGCTGTGCCTTCAAGAAGCACCGATTCTACCTCTTCAGGTGAGTGCTTATTGTGAGCACCCCTGCCTCTAGCAGGTGGCAGCAGGACAGGACGCCAAGGGCGGGCCGTCTGTGTTCCCTACTGTGATCGGCTGTGCCTTCAAGAAGCACCGATTCTACCTCTTCAGGTGGGTAAATCGATGGGCATCTTGTGAGTGTCTCAACGCCTCTGCACCCCATTTCATCCCTCTCCATCCATCTGCACCCATCCAGTCAGCGCGAGCCAGAGGAAAGAGAGGAGCCATCACAGGGCAGAGACGTGTTCAATGAGAAGCCTCCACCTGAAGAGATGCTCTCATGCTTGTTCTGACCCCTCTCCACCCCTCTCCACCCCTCTCCACCCCTCTCCACCCCTCTGTCCCTCTCCACCCCTCTCCATTCCAGTCAGCGGGAGCCCGAAGAAGGGGAGGAGCCATCACAGGGCAGGGACGTGTTTAACGAGAAGCCACCACCAGAGGAGATGCTTGCGCTGGCAGATGTGGCGAGAACCGGAGCATCGGCCTTGCCTGACAGCGTGGTGAGTGCGTTGCTTTTCCTTGTCCGTAGCATGGTATAGTACGTGCGTGTGAAGTGAGTGGTAGGGAGGGCGGCAGATTAAGATGCTTGCTCTGGCTGATGTGGCGAGAACCGGAGCATCGGCTTTACCTGAGAGTCTGGTGAGTGATTCCCTTGAGGCGTCTCAAAGGTTGGTGTGAACAGAGTGGTAGGGAGGGCGGCAGATTAAGATGCTTGCTCTGGCAGATGTGGCGAGAACCGGAGCATCGGCCTTGCCTGACAGCGTGGTGAGTGCCGTGCGTTGTCTTGCATGTAGCATTGCTGGTAGCATGGTATGGTTCAAGGTTAGTGTGTAAATGGGAGGGGCGGGGAGGCAGTGTGAGATGCTTGCGTTGGCGGATGTGGCGAGAACCGGAGCCTCTGCTTTGCCTGACAGCGTGGTGAGTGTAGTTTTGAGTCGACTCAAAACTAACCTCTGCTTTGCCTGACAGCGTGGTGAGTGCCTTGCTCTGCATTGTCTGTCTGATATTGTCGTCAAGTGAGTGATGAGATGTCTTCACTGTGCCGAGTGATAGCCTGTCGATACGTTTTCCCTAGATTACCTTCCCCCCCCCCCCCCCCTTCTCCCTGCAGGTCATGCACACGACCATGGGAGACATCCATCTAAATCTAAGTTGGTCATTTACGCCATTTCAGCCCACGTACACGTAACGTACGCGTACATGTACGTTTACGTACACGTACACGTACGTACGTGTGCGTACGCCGGGCAGGTAAAAAAAAAAGTTCCCCTAGAAAATTCTTTGAGAACGGTTTCCGAAAACCTAAAAAAGAAAAAGGCTTTCGACGACCTGTGCTCTGTTAGCGTGTTAGTACGGCGCGACGTTTTTCAAAGTAGTAATGTAAGAAACAGGAAGGTTGCTAGCTAGGGTTGCTATGGTGTGACGTCTACCCTACGTACTATGTCGACTAAGGCGGTAGAACTACGATAGCTAAGTCTGTCGAGAGAGGGAGGGAGGAAATTGTAGTGGGAGTAGATCTGAATGTGTACAAACTGTTCGCGATAGAACATTGCGAAAAGTTTGACTCAGATCGCGATTGCTTCGCTTGCAAGGTAAGCGAATGTCACCCGCTCGGCAGTTTCGTCACCGCCGACCTTCACTGGTTTCGGCGAATCCCAACTTCGAGTCAAACCAATTCACATGATGGTATTTTTGTTATTTGGGAAATTACGAGGTTGTGATGGAATGTTTACACTATATGATGGAAATCATGATTACGAGGGAGTAATATAGAAAAAATATACATATTCGGGCAGCCCATAATTTTTTTCACCTGCCCGTACATTAGGCCTCCAACCCAACAGCCGCGTAAACGTACGTACCCGTACACGTACGTACGTAAACTTAAACGTAAATTACCAACTAAGATCTAAAGCTCTACCCAGAGGAATGCCCGCGCACAGCGGAGAACTTCACCACCCATTGCAGCAATGGGTGCTACGAGGGGCTGCTCTTCCACCGGGTCATCACTCCCCTTCTTTTGATATTTCACCTCCTCTCCTCACCCCCTCCCCTCCTCTCCCCTCCTCGCTCCTCCTCCCCTCGCCCCCCTCCCTCCCCTCCCTCCCCTCTCCCCTCCGTGCCCCCACAGCAGGTCATGCACACCACAATGGGAGACATCCATCTAAAGCTCTATCCTGAAGAGTGCCCGCGAACCGTAGACAACTTCACGCATTGCAGCAACGGGTACTACGAGGGGTTGCTGTTCCACCAGGTCATCACTCCCCCTTCTCTGCTTCATTTTCCCCTCTTTTTCTTCCATTCCCTCGTGTCTCTCTCCCCACAGGCCATGCACACAACCATGGGTGACATCCATTTGAAATTGTACCCCGAGGAATGTCCACGAACGGTAGAAAAAAATCACGACGCATTGCAGCAACGGGTACTACGAGGGGCTGCTGTTCCACCGGGTCATCAAGGGCTTCATCTCCTCTAGTTTTCCTTCGTCCTCCCCTCTTCTCCCCACAGGTCATGCACACGACCATGGGTGATATCCACCTGAAACTATACCCGGAGGAGTGCCCTCGAACTGTCGAGAACTTCACAACGCACTGCAGCAACGGGTACTACGAGGGGCTGCTGTTCCACCGGGTCATCAAGGGTTTCGTCTCCTCAAGATTTTCCTTCATTCTCCCCTCCGCCCTTGTCCCCACAGGTCATGCACACGACTATGGGTGATATCCACCTGAAACTATACCCAGAGGAATGCCCTCGAACAGTCGAAAACTTCACCACGCATTGCAGCAATGGCTATTATGAGGGGCTGCTGTTCCACCGGGTGATCAAGGGCTTCATGGTGCAAACCGGCTGCCCACTGGGGGATGGCACGGGCGGCCAGAGCATCTGGGGAGGCGAATTCGCGGACGAGTTTCACAAGAGGTGGGTTGGAAGGGGGTGGAAGGGGGGTGGAAGGGGGGTGGAAGGGGGTGGGGAGGGGGTGGGAGGGAGGCTGTGCACGTGTGTATGAGTGTGAGTGTGCGTGCGTGCGTGCGTGCGTGTGTGTGTGTGTGTGTGTGTGAGTGTGTGTATGCTCCTTCATCATTCTCTCTTCCCCACCTGCTTCCCCCTTTCTCTTGCCTTGCCCTCCCTTTTTCTCTCCTCCCTCGGCACTGCTCATCCTCTCTTCCTTGTTTCCCTTCCCTTGTTTCTCTCCCATTCCCTCCCCTCATTTCCCTTCCCCTGCAGTCTGCGTCACGATCGCCCCTTCACGCTATCGATGGCCAATGCAGGCCCCAACACCAACGGCAGCCAGTTCTTCATCACCACTGCCACTGCTCCTTCCTCACCCTCCCCCTCCCCTTGCCCCCCCACCTGCCTTCCTTTCTCTCCCCTTTACCCCCTCCTCTGTGCTCCCCTCCCCCCCGGCCAGTCTGCGTCACGATCGCCCCTTCACTTTATCCATGGCCAACGCAGGCCCCAACACCAACGGCAGCCAGTTCTTCATCACCACAGTCGCCACGCCTTGGCTGGACAACAAGCACACCGTGTTTGGGCGCGTGGTTAAGGGCATGGACGTAGTACAGGTGGGTTGAGAGCGGTAGCAAGGAGTAGGGATGGGTGCATGCGGCTTATATATTGATGGGCTTATTCATATTCTTCATCACCACTGTCGCCACGCCTTGGCTGGACAACAAGCACACCGTGTTCGGGCGCGTGGTTAAGGGCATGGATGTTGTACAGGTGAGCTGAGAGAGTGGTGTGGAGGAGTAGAGATGGGTGCATGTGATCTATGTTTGGGTCTACTTGCATTCTTTATTGCCACCTGTGCGACGCCTTTTCTCCCCCCTTCCCTCTGCCCCCTCATTCCTGCTCTCCTCCTTCCCCCATGCTTAGAAGGCCAAGGAGGATCATAATGAGAAGCCCTTGTTGGAAGGTCTTTTTCTGCCCTTTTTCTCTTTTTTCTGCCTTTTTTCTCTTTTTTCTGCCCTTTTTCTCTTTTTTCTGCCCTTTCTTCCCCCTCTCCCCACTCCCCTCTCTTGCATCAGCTCATTGAGAAGGCCAAGGTGGATATTAACGACAATACTTTTTTTTGTTGGCACCCAGATGCATATGCATATTTATTTTTGGCCCCGTTTCTTCTCCCCCCTTCCCGCCTCTCCACATGCCTCCTCTCCTCCGTTTCCCCATGCGTCATCAGCTTGTTGAGAAGGCAAAGGTGGATCGTAACGACAAGCCTTTCTAGGTGACTTTTGAGTCGACTTAGAAGTCTCCCCCCGCTCCCCACTCCCCAATCCCCTCTCTTGCTTCAGCTTATTGAGAAGGCAAAGGTGGATCGTAACGACAAGCCATATGAAGACATAAAGATTCTCAATGTCACCGTGCCCAAGTAGGGCCATTCGTTTTGAGAAGCATCATAACAAGCTAGCCACTAGGATTGTAACGACAAGCCATATAAAGACATCAAGATTCTCAATGTCACCGTGCCCAAGTAGGGCCTCTCGTCCTGAGAGCAGGGCTGACGTTTCACTTTAGGGCTCCCTGATGCCGCAAAAAAAAATTTCCCTCGATTATGAGTGCACATTGTTCAAGAGATTGTCACCCTGATAGCTCAGGGTAGGCATGAGCAAATAGCCCGTTCGGGTCAGACCGACCCGACCCGACTCGGGATGTTTCCGGGTGTTTTTGCTTTAAGTGCTCGCCGAACCGAACAGTGTTCGGTTCGGCAAACGGATGTGTTCGTCTAGGGGCGAACACGAACATGTTCGTGTTCGCCCCTTGCTCATCCCTAGCTCAGGGTTCAACAACTAGTCACTCTGATGAGTCAGGGTCGACAGCCTAAATTCAGGGTTGTGTTTCACATTTTACTAGGGTGATTACTGCAATGTACAGCCTGTAACGAATTTCCTCCTACATCTACTCTACTCTAGTGCACAGGCCTATCGATGTGGAACACTTCCTCCACATCCTCATCGTCCGAAAGGAAGGGATTGTCCTCCTCCTCCTCCCCCACAAGCTCCTGATCGTCGCCCAGGGCCTGTTCCACATCCACCTCCTCCTCCTCGTCCTCGTCCCCATCGTTTTGGTGGGCAGCTCCTGCTTCGACTTCACCCTCCTTTGCTTTCCCCCTCCTTTCGCGATCAGCCACAGCAAGCTTCACGCTCTTTGCGGGGCGCCTCCTCCTCATAGACCTCCAGACCTACAGGACGTCCGGCCACTCGATGTCGTAATTCAGGAGCGAAATCTGCATCAGCTCCCCCAGCCGCGCGTTGCAGAGAGCGCCGCGCACCCAAGACTTGATCACATTTTGCCTCGAGAATCCTCTCTCGCACTCCACAGTTGACAGGGGGAGCACCGCGATCGCCTGCCACAGGAGGACGAGGTTGGGCCACCTCCTGCCAGGCACATTGTCGGAGATGGGTGGGAAACAGAGTGACCACATGCACAAAATATATTAGACTCTCACATGGCATACCATGCTGTCACACTACGGGGACATACCTCTTCGAGTCCGCGCTCCTGAGAATGTTGGTCAGTCCCTGCGTGAAGCTTTCCAGCTCGTGGTGCGCCTCCATGATCGCACAGAATGTGGGAAGCTCCCTCTCTGCGGCCTTGAGGTCGAATCCCGGCAGCTGGTGGCGGAAGAGTTTGCTGCATCCCAGAAGCCACTCACGGCACTTCTTCTCCCGTTGTGCCTTGATCTTCGGCCACTTTCCGGCCCGAAACAGCTTCGTCGGCCCCAGCTTCCCCAGGTCATCAAGCCGCTCGTTGAGATTGTCCACGCAATCGCGGGCGAAACTGCGGCACAGCTTCACGCACTCCTCGTATCCGCTCCCCACCTTGTGCCCCGGGAGCTTCCGCTCGTGCATGGTGTACAGATGGTTCACTGGGCGTCCCTCCCCGTCCACGCCTCTCACACGGACCTTCTTGCCTCCACCATGCCCGTGCAGCTTCAGAAAGCCGACCAGCCAGCACTTGCCCTCGCCACCGAACTGCTTGTCGGTATCCAAATACCGCTCAGTCAGATCCGCCGTGGTGGCCTCGATGGTCTTCGCAATCTCCGTCACATCAATCTGTAAGGGCACAGTCATACAGGACATGTCATTTTACATCCAACACTCAAGAAATTGGAGACACTAGTAGAGGCGTGTTCGTGGAAGATTAAACAAACTCACATCTCGCTTCTGGAAACAGCGGTTGAGGTCGTTCATGTCGGCGAGGATGTCGGCGAGGAAGAACAGGCAAAACTGGAACTTGTAGCACGTGACGATCTCGTACACCTTGTGACTCCGCTCCCAGAGAAGAACGATACACGCACCGAGCACCTTGCACAGCCGTCGCACCGCATCTCCACGTGAGAGCCAGCGAACCGTGTGGATCCCCTGGACTTCGAGGTTAGTGTTGTAGATCACACGCTGCAGGTACTTGAACCGTTGGCTCCAGACTGAAGAATCTCCTAGTTTTGCCGCCACGGTGCGCACCACCTTGTCCACCATGCCGAGGTCGGGGTTGGACGTCGCCGCGTCCTTAACAGCCAGCGCCTCCCTGCAATAGACAACGGTAATAATTGTTGAGTAGAAATCAGGCAAGCAACATGAACTGAATCAATAACTGGCACTAAAATTTACCGGTGCGCGATGCAGTGACAGGAAAAGAGATGCGGGGCGTGCTCCCTGATCCGCGCCACCAATCCGTTGTCCTTCCCCGTCATGACCGAAGCCCCGTCCGTACTGATTCCGACAAGCTTCGACACGTCGACTCCTGCGGAGCGCAGATGATTCATGAGCACCTCGAACAGGGACGCAGCATCACACTTCTCCACAGTCAGGAGGGTGAAGAACTCGGTGACGACTCGGCGGTCCATGATGAAGGTCAGGTAAACAATCATGTGTTTACCACGCGTTCGGTCAGTGCTCTCGTCGCATTGCAGGCCCAGGAACGGTGAGGAGTTGATGTGGTCCATCTGCGCATTCGTCAAGTACGTACTGAGGCAGTGAACCATCTGCTGGAAGCCGTACCTGCGCAGAGATGTAGGTCCTTCAGTTAGTCTTTCTGGGGGAAAATATTTCATTACCACGAATTCAATACAGCAAGATTGTAACTAAAATGTCCTACCGAGTGAGATAAACACCATAAGACTGTCTCGGGATGTCGGGCGTGTCCTGCTCCGCGAGATGCCGCATCAGCCTAGGGTACATGCTTATCGGCGCGTCGCACTTGCACAGAAACACAACCGACCGCAACAGTCGGACGGCGCGCCTGCCCTCGACGTCCGAGTTGATGAAGTTCGAAATCACTTGCTGCCCCTCGCGGATGCCTCTCGCAATCTTCAGCTGCCGGTCAACAGCCGCTTTGTGCGCGTCCGTGTGCTCGTGTGCGCGAAACGTCTGCGTCTGCATGTCACGGCCTCCGTCATCACCCTGCCTCGCGTACCTCGTGTTCTCCTTCCCGTAGGCCATGCAGACACTGCACTTCACATAGGGAAACCCATTCTTGGTTTTTCCGAACACAAGCCAGGAGAACTGTCCCGACCACCTCGTATCGTACATGATGCTGGCCTCCACGAACATCTGCTCCCGCAGCTGCGCCTTGGTGAGGGCGGGCGAGCCGGTGTCCGCGCGGATCGGGAACACATCTTCCTCTGGCGGTGCAGATGCAGCAGGTGGTGGATCAGCCGGAGTGTTCGAATCAGAAAGTCGGCGGCCTCCGACGAGCAGGGTATGCTGCGCCCACTTCCCTGAACGCGCTCTCTTCGGTGTGGAGGTAGCCGACGGAGGACCAACGGACACCCGCACGGTGCTTGGTGTGGGACTTGGCGCGGTCGGTTGGGGATCTTTGCTGCAATAAGCAACAGCCGGGGGTATAGTGAAGGCGGCCTCCCGGGGAGACTCTTCAGGTGTGGCCGTGGGCGTGTCTTTAACTGCAGAATCATCTACGGTAGACCTAGGTGGATCCGGTGTTACTGGAGCAGCGGAACCTCTAAGAAAATCAAGCCCCGAGCGTGGCTCCGTGGCTTTCGGCGGTAACGGTGGCTCATCTGAGCCAGCCTGAGGCATGTCCTCGTCAGCCTGCTGGCCTTCCATGGCTGGGAGAAGCTAGAGATGGGGAGAGAGAGAAACGGAGAAATGAATTGAAAAAAGGGAACATAACAGCAGCACCATTAAGACCCTGGCTGTCGGAGGGGGGAAGCAAGAGATGGAGGGAGAAGGTGGGGTCAGCAAGAATCCACCGCGTCGCCACGAAATTGATGGCGCGGTGGTCGAAACAACGAGCCGTCATTGTATTCGGCCTTTCATGCAGGCCGAATACATTGAACGACTGCTTCACTGCCAGCGACGACAGCCACTAAGTGTCTCTCTCCAATGAGGGACACGTATTGTGATTTGCGCGGTGCGCGTGGCAGTAAACATGATGATTCTAGGTGCGCTGTCAAATTTGACAGCTGTGCTGCTGTACAAATGACAGTTGTGTTCTGTGTCGGTTCTTGTCACTAGTGCGCGTGAAACGAAGCCCCCACATGGTTAGGTGCGAATCATAATTACCCACATGGGGGGGTATCGGAACGAAGCTTCTACGAAGCTTCGTTCAGATAACATGACTTTCAGGGTCCACAGGTCGCGTACTCTGTATTGACAGGGTCCATGAAAACACTACACTGAGAGTGTATTGAGAATTTCAGGCTCCGCTAAATCAATACTCTGAATGGATCAGGGACCAAAATGTGAAAAACCTGATTTCACAGGGATCACAGGGTGAGAAGCCTGAAATCACCCTGAAATCAGGGGGTAATTACCCTGATAAAATCAGCCCTTCCTGAGAGCTACCGGTACTTTTGAAACATGCTTGTAGTGGATCGCAATGTGAAGACTCAAGCCATCCGAAGACATAGAGATTCTCAATGTCGCTATGCCCAAATAGGGCCCTTCCTCCCTGTACCAGTCAATGTGTGACTTTGCCCAAGTTGGGACACAAGTAGTTTTTTATAGTTGAATGAATCGCAATGTCAAGGAGTTTGGTCATATGAAGACATCAAGACTCTCATGTCATTGTGCCCAAGTGAGCCCACTATATTGGGATGATTATTCCAGACTCCTGTGGTGTACAATATACACTACTGGCGTTAACATGACATCAAAACTAATTGGTCTTTCCTACGTAAAAACTCTTCAGATGTCAAAATTGGCAGCTCTGGCGATAAACCAGCAGCTGGAGACAAAATTGCGGCAGCGCAGCTAAACCTCGGGCTGCCTCGCCATCAGAGGGCACACCTGCTTGGCGTGCCTCCCCGCGTAACATTTGTAAGTGCCTCTCACATCAGTGGGTGGGAGGGGGGCCTGGTATCTCCCATCCCATCCCATTGCCCCTGGAAGCGAATTACGCTCACATAATTTACGTAGTCACACCATGAGTACGCTGCTGAACGCTAAACAACTCCCTGCTAGCAGCCCAGACGAGAATTGTAGGTGGCGCTGCTGCGGGCACGAAGCGTGTCGTTTTCATGTGATATCCAAGTGTGCTTTGAGTCGACTCAAAACCCCCCTGCTCGGGCGCACTGCTGGAGGGCAGAGAGCCGTCTGGCCGGAACGAAGCGGGCTTGGAAAAGACCAGCATCCACTCCAGTTGAGAATTGTAGATTGCGGTTCTGCTGCTGCTGGCATGATGTGTGTGCAGCCACAGCAGCAGCTGCGATCGCACTAGAAACGGCAGATGCGTGAAATCTTCCAGCTGGAGCAGCAGTGGCAGCAGATGGGGCAGTACGAGCAGCAAATGGGCTGGCAGCAGGAGCAACCGGGACATCAACGGAACAGTCAGCAGAGACAGTAGGAGAGGTGATAACAGAGAGGGTTGAAGCGTCCCGATCCCCAGTCACTGCTCCTTCGCTACCGTAACCATCACCATCCACTTCCGCCTTCTCCTTATCCCCCCCCACTGCTCCCCCGCTCGCACTTTGAAAATTCTCGTAAGTCAACCCCTTCGCCTCGCACACCACTCTCTGACTGACCGCAGCCATCCACTTAGCATGCAGATACTCCCACTTGCGCCACGGCGGAACGTGCATGCCTTGCGCCCTTAAAGCCCCGCGCATCGCGCCAGATACCACCTCCACCAGCCGCGCCAGCCGCTCTGACCTCCCGACGAAGATTAAAGGCGTGGATTCGAGCGCCGCCGCGTACTCGCGCGTGGGCCGTGCGATCTGGAACTGCGCGCGGAAATCAACGTCTATGATGAAACGCTGGGGGACGGCGGCGGAAGCGGGGGCGGCGGAAGCGCTGTTGGCGGAAGCGGAGAAGGCGCTAGTCAGGAAAGGGGAGGCGCGGGTGACAATGGTGGGGGAATTGGTTCGTGAGAAGGTGGGAGGAGGGGAGGCTATGTTGTCACAACGGTGGAAGATGGAATCTACGAGGGTGGAACAGGGAGAGGCGGATGCGTGCGAGGGAGCGGGCGGGTTCGCGGACGTAAGGACGTCGATGTACTCGTATGATCCTGCAGGAGCGACAGAGGAAAGAGGAGGACAGGAGCGACAAAGGAAAGAGGAGGAAAGTTAGTATTCCGGAAAGCTGTGCGGAAAATGAGGATCTAAATCGAACGGGCGATGCATGAAGAAAACGAGTTGTAAAATTGGAATAAATGGCATAGCACGAAATCTGGTTACTGGAGTGATTGAGAGCAGGGAGCTATTACTGACCCTCGGGCATGGTGGGAGAGGTGTCCCACTGCGTCGTGCACACCGCCGCGTCGTACCCCATCGCACGCAGTCGCCCTGCGACCGCCGCGTTCAGGCTGCTCCCGCGCAGCTCCTGCGACGGGATGTCGTCGCACGACAATTTCGCGCGCGCGTCGGTCATCGCGGCAATGACGTCAGCGTAGAGAGCGCGCTCAACGGAGTCATCCATGGCTGCCAGCGACTGCGGAGGGAAAACAGCGCGAGGAAGTGAAACGAAAAATATGGGTGATGGTAGGCTGCTCCTTACATGCTGATTAGACGAGATATGAGACATAAACGAGCAACGACAAATGCGCAAATGCTTGCGGATGGCTGAGGAGGTGAGGCGATGCCGTACCTGAATCAAACGAAGCTGATTTTGCTCCGCCATTTGCATCTGCCTGTCCAGATAATCCGCTGACAGCCGTCGATTCAGTATCGGCTGTGCTGGATGCGAAGCGCGCATGGTGGTCGATGCCGCTACTCCGTGGAGCTCTGTTCTCAGCATCAAGCCGTCGAGCGCGTCGCGATCCTGATCGCCTTCTTCGAGATACTCGGAAATTAAATCGTCGAGGTGCATCGAGGAGGGAATCGCCACGTCAGCGAATGATACGGGCGTGTTCGACGAGTCTTGCAGCCGGGGGTTGAAGGCGTCGCCTTGAATCAGATGCAGCCCGAAACGACCAGCGGGATTTGCGGTGATGCGCGGAAAATCGCTCCCGCGAGGGATCGACTGTTGCGCGACGGTCATTTGCGGAGGTTGAAAACAATGTTGCTGTAAATGCGACGACTGCTGCTGGAATGAAGGAGCAGCGGGGCCTAACGAAAGGCCTAGATTTGCGGGGACATTGACGGAGGCGCTTTCTGCGGTCGACACACGAATCTCCTTCTCCTTGCTGAAAGCGTGGGCGAAGCGAGAGGAGCTCTGGGACGATAGAATGCTGATCAGGCCTGGCATGGCGCCTGGTCGGATCGGCCGGCCTCAGACGTCGAAATGTGTGAAAAAATGGGAAGCGCAGGCTTCGAAGGTAATGAAGAGCTCTGCTGTGGTGTAGTAGTACAGATGTGGATGGCCTTTCAAAGTTACGAAAGAGATCTGTAGAGCTCACTGTATGTAGCTGAAGATACAGAGTGACGGGAGAACGACGTATGGCTGGGTCTAAAAGCAGACGCGCGGCTTCGGTGCGAAGAGACGAAATCCTGTGTTGGGTTCGCTTCACACGTTGAGCGGACTGCTTTCGGCTCGACACGGGGTGGCGTGACGTGTCAGATGGTACGAGAGGAAGCGTGCGGAACGCGAGATGCGGCGCACTAACCCGAGCCAACTATTATCCGCATCTACTACGCGAATCACCTGTGTCTAGATGCTGCTGTTCGGCCTTCCAGTCTGCTTCGTCGCAAGTAATTACAACCAACCAATCAGTCAGTCTGTTGCTGACGAAAAGGTCCTCCTAGTGGCAGTGGATCAAGGGTCAAGGGAGCCTCACACGTCGCCCTCGGTTCTGCTGCCTCGGTGGCCAAACGAAGTGTGGTGTGTGGCCTGGAGTGAAAGGAGTGGGTAGGGCTCCTGCTGACAACTTGCGCCCTGCTGGCAAATTCTGAAGAGCAGCAGAAATGTGCAAATGTGCGTGAAATTTGTATCTTGCTCTGCTGCTGTGGCCTCGAATCTCGATCTCACAACCAAAGGGAGCAGAGCAGGGGTGAGGAATTGGGCAGGAGAGCATGGGATGGGAGCAGAGCAGAGGGGATTACGTTTTTTGAGGTGATTGGGCCGATTGAAAACCGCGCCGCGCACAAACACACACGCGCAGCGCACTTCCTTCTCGCACCAGATCCGCACTTCCATGTCAGCAGAGTTTCTAATTTGAGTTTCCCGTTAGAGAATTTCCACGAGGCGAAAAAAACAAACCGTAATTAATCCGACGGTTCTACAACCATCTCGAAGCGGGTGCTGCGGATCTGACCAATGAACGTTGAACATTTGGAAGATTCGAGTTGAGTTGCGACTATTCCGTTTGGCTTGATCCTGCCCGCTTACACTCACCAGCCGTTTTTGCTGGTCAGTGCTCACGGCGGGAGATGCTCTGCCCAAAAGGAAATATTCTGGAAATCACCCAAGTGGCTGGGCAGCAAAATTCTGAGGAGATGTGTGACCTGACGATGGCGTGTCCCTTACGTACCGTCGAGGTGGCGACACCATAGCCTTGGATCTTGGACACGTGGCCACTTGACTCTCCTTTAATTGGCTGCAAAGGTATTGAACTTCACACGCAACCTTGCCTTCATGTTGTGTCACAGCTGGAGAGGTATTATTCACGCTATCTTCAACCCTGCGAGAATATAGTTAACAACTGAGTACACAGTAAATACATACATTGGAAAAACAATATGCATTAGATGTGACAACAACATAAACATGATAGACGCTATTTGAGGGCATACATTGATCTGTAGGTGCAAGCGGGAACGGAGCAACATCACATGGAAGGCAACAGAGCATAATTATATAATTAATAAAACAAGGCAAAAACAATCAAACAGAGCAACAAAGGGAGTTGCTTGTGGGTGTTCTGTGTGAACATCTCCATGCACACGTATGATTGCAACATGTGCCCCACACAACAGGATAAGTTGGTAAATTCTTAAGAACCATTCATACAACGAACAGGGTTCTGAGTGGCTACAGTGGGTAAAAAATCCACTTCCTACAGGCTCCATGTCACCAGTCACACTTGATCAGCCTCCACCTGCACTATTTTTCCTCGCTGCCCCACTCCCTTGGCCACCAGTACGGGCGGCTCGGCAAAACTTTCAAAGCTGCCCCGTTCTCTGCTTTCACTGCCAGCTGTGACCCCGGGTTGAGGCCATGAGCCAATCGCAGCAGCGCCAATCCTGTCAACTCCTTTGAACCTCCAGCACCACTGCCATCACCGTCAGAACCGCACAGGACGGCATTCACTCGTCCAACAGCCTTCCCAGAAACCGTTTCCACTATCTCAGCCCCTGAAGACACTGTTACCTCCCCAACCCCCTCCCTCACCTCCTCTCCACCTCCTTCCCTGGACGGCACGAGTCGGACTGGCATGAGTCGTTTGCGCACGACACCCCTGTGGTGCGTCCTGGCAGTGAGCTCCTGCCCCACGTAGCACCCCTTGGTGAAGCTGATGGCGTGCAGGGCGGCGAGGTTGCACTCCAGAGGCAAAGCTTCACCTGTGAGATAACATGGATAACAGGGAACAAGGGCATGGAGTGGGCATTACGTGATGCGTGGGTTCTGGCAGTGAGCTCCTGCCCCACGTAGCACCCCTTGGTGAAGCTGATGGCATGCGGGGCTGCCAGGTTGCACTTTAAAGGAAAGGCTTTACCTGATGGCAGGGAAAAACGGTAGAAACGGAGTTGGACTGGCATGAGTCGCTATTGAGAATTCTCAGAGGCGTTGCGACCATATTAAGAACTCATCTACGCCTGAAACGAACCAAGAAGCTGTCTCTTTGACTGAACGACAAAGCATCTCCAATGTGTGTTACATACGTACCTCTGAGCACCTTTCTCCACCGCACTGCATACCTTTTGGCATCTCTTCACACCCCTCCGCCACTCCCATTGCATAGCGGAAGCTCCTGTAACTGTCCTCCCCCTCTTCCACCTGTGCATCCACCAATGGGGCTGGTGGTAAGTGAAGGGGGGGGGGGGAAGGGAAGGGGAAACGAGATTACCATTAAAGATCGCACTAAACCGCTCTGAATCCCTTTCCCAGGAGTATCGGAGACTCCTGTAGCTGTCCTCCCCCTTTTCCACCTGTGCATCCACCAATGGGGCTGGTGAAGAGCTATGGAGGAGGGAGAGGCGGAGGGAGAAGACATATGGAAAGAAAGGAAGAAACACAAAGAAAGAAACCAGATCTGAGGGCCGCAAATTGCAAGATTAGCATTTCCCAGCAACTAAGAGAGAACAATTCTATCTAGTTGTAGCATTTCGTTTAGAATCCTTCTACCTAGTTGTAGCCTGCCTCTGCCACCACACCCCCTTCCCCACTACCACATCCACTTAATCAGTTTTTGAGACGTCTCAAAAAAAACCTCGCTCCACTTAATCACTCCATTATGCGTTTTACTCGCGAGAAAGAGCCCACTCAGCCTCAAGCCAGGCAGCCTGGGGTCCGGATGCCACCGCCAGCCCTACCTGTGAGCTGGTCGCTTCAGCTGTGAGCTCTCCCAACTGGTCCACCTGCCCGCCCCATCCCACCCCCTCCCTTCCCAGTCGCTTCAGAGGCAAATCCTCTGTACTTACGGATTTCACTGGCAGGAAAGAGCCCCTTCAGCCTCGAGCCAGGCAGCCTGGGGTCCCGATGCCACCGCCACCCCTACCTGGTCGCCGCGGCAGTCAGCTCTCCCAGCTGATCCACTCGCCCGCCCCACCCCACCCCATCCCAGATTAAACCCAACCCCAGGAGGAAAGAACTTACGGATTTCACTGGCAGGGAAGAGCCCTCTCAGCCCCAACCCAGGCAGCCTGGAATCGCGATGCCACCGCCATCCCTCCCTCCTGGCTTCTGCAGTCAACTCTCCCAACTGATCCACACGCCCGCCCCACCCCACCCCCTCCCCCGCTGCTGCCTCGTCTGGGAGTGCTGGGTCAGAGGAGAGGCGCGAGTGGAAGTGCGCCCAGACTGCCACGTCAGATGACACGTCAGCGAATGACACGTTGGCACGCAGCTTGTGCCTGTGGATAAGGGGGGGGGGGGAATGGCAGGGGGGGGGAAGGAGCGGCAGGGATGACACGGGGGTGCAAAGGTAAGGGGAGCATGGGACCTGAATTGGAAACACAATCAAGACTACACTTGTAAATACAGTGTGAATATAAAATACAAAGGAAAATAAGAAGGAAAGAGAGCACACAGAAGATAAAACCTACTTCTTCAGGTGAGCCAGCAGGTCGTCCAGGTTCGCTGCATCTACATCCGCCAGAAGCTCAGGTGCGTCTGGGTTGCCTGTATCTGGACCGGCTCCTGTCGGATCCAACCGACTCGACACCGCATCCTGGAGAGAAAGGTGGGGAGCGGTGGGGTGAGGTAGCGTGGGGTGAAGAGAAGGTAAGAACCTGTGTTTATTCCTGTTCCTTCACCAAGCGGCTTCAGAGAAAAACCAAACGAGAAGATACTACATCCTGGGAAGAAAGGGATGGACTCGTTTGAAGGGTGAGTTTGGGTGGGGGAAGAACGATAAGGTCGGTACAGGAATAGGCCATAAAGTGCCGGATTTGCACATGATCATGAGTCTCACCGAGTGTGGCGGGCGGTAGAGGAAAAGATCGTATAGAAACCGGCCTTGCGGGGAGAGCAGCGCGGAGTAGATTGGCGGATGCACGCTGGCGGGTTGATTCGGCGTGGGGATGGGGGAGGCAACCGGAGGGGGTTGCTGGAGGAACGTGCTGACGTCATTCGTCAGCAGGCCTTGCAGGAAATTGATCGCATCGCGACCGTCGAATCGGATCACGCCTCGGCTGCGAAGCCGCGCCGCCATGGGGTTGCTCCGCGACGCGGCCTCGTGCCCCTCTGTGTTCGTATCCGCGCCTGCACCGATCTTTCTTCCCGCGGACGACGCGTTGTCATGCGTTGCTGCTCCTTCCTTGTCAGCATCGCGGCTCGGCGTGGTGTAAACCCTCGAGATCGACGCGATGGAGGCAAATCGGGACAGGAGCAGAGGATACAGGTCCAACGAGCCAAAATCCGCGCTGCTCGTAAAGAATTCA